ATTTATTTTTTTCTTTAATACATGAATGAAAAAATGTGGAGAAAAAATGGTTTGCAGTTGGAAATACAAAGTGATATGTTTTTTCTTGAAAAGCATCTCAAGGACAAATGTCTACATTTGATCCACCAAAATGGTTTTTAGCCACTCATGCACTCCCCAAATTTGGTCCAAAGAGTCTTTTTGCTCCAGACTTTTGCAAATAGCTTTAAGGAGGAAACAGAAATCTTATCTGCACAATCTCTCTTCTGTGGGGGATGAAAACAGTTACACAAGACTGATTCTTGCAAGACAAACTTCTACTTTTTCCAATAGAAGAAAGGGAAAATATTTTTGAGCATTATTTTAAAAGCAGTAAAAGTAATAGAAATGTGCCAATATATTTGTTTATTAAAATATTGTTACGCTGCTGGCCAATGAAATATTCTGGACTACAAACAATATAAAAGAGGTATCCTATAATCACTCCAATCAAACATTTTCATTATATATTATCTTGTTACAGTATTAACTCTTCATTGTTCATTTTATAACCCAATCCCATCTGTTTAGACATCTCTTTAAACTAATCAGACAGAGAAATTGTCCCATCCAGTTTCTCCTTTATAAACTGATTATAAATCTTTGCCTTTCTGAAATATCAACTTAAGCTATTATTGACTTCCTAGGATATTTTGTTCATACTGCACTGCTTGTGATCTTTATCACTGACCTTCCAATAAATTATTTTTTTCTCTTGATTAGTCAGGTGTATTGCTCAAGATGCAGCATCACTTATATACTACAGAGCTAACCTTGTTTAAAGTACTCTGAAGTTTCAGCATACCTGAAGAACAAAACCATGGCCAGGTAGAAAAATCAATGACTTACTCATAGTTTGCTAATAAAAGATGTCTTCTTTTTGGTGTGCTTTCACCTCTAAGCGCAATCTGGAATACTTTGGCTCCTTCTGGAGTCTTATCAGGGATGTCAGCACTGCTCAGATACCAGAATGACATCAGGATACTAACAAACTTCCTGCCTGTTTACAGCGCAAGATGGATTTGGAAACAGAGAAAGACATCTTATATGAAGAACACATCTCTCTCTTTTTCTAACAAACAAACACACACACACATACACAAACACATGTACAAATTGTGAAAAAACAGGATAGCAATGGCCCCAAAGCCTCTTTCAGAGACAAAGCATGAATTGCCAGATACTTGGTTCATGTATTAGGCTAATCTAAAAATTACTTGTCCAGTTTCCTAAATACATAACAATTAACATACATAACAAGCAGGATGCAGACCAACAATATTATGGATTAACACAATGCACAAAATCAGCCAGAATTCTGTTTTTTTTTTTTTGGGGGGGGGGGGGCAGCGTATGTGACTTTTCAACCATGACCCACTGATAGTTGCATGCAACTACTTTCAGCTACCAGAGAACCTATTAACTGCTTCCACTTCCAACACAGGTTCTCCTGAATTTTCCCTTCCCAGCAAAAATCTAGGAAATGGTATAGACACAAATCAATTGCTTTCTCCTACTAAGACCAACACAACATAATTCTATATATGTTTGTAGATATCAAATGGGAAAATTCATGGCTTGGGTATGAATTAGAGTTATTACTGCTTCTAATATTTGACATTCAAGTGATTAATTCAACTTAAAAAATAAAATTAGGAAAGTTGTTTGTCCTGCTGGACAACCTACAGGAGAGAAATTAGCTCTGTGTATTTTTTTAAAAAAATATTATACTACATCAGATCTCATACTGATTTCTTGGAGTATAGTTGATGATCAAAGTTGATGATCACCAATTTCTGAATAAACATTAGATCTATATTTGACTAGCAAAGCATGGATCTTCTTAAAGAGCCAAGCAAACTCACTCAGCTTCTCAACTGCACGTTGATATAAAGTCCATTCTGTATGTCAGTTCTGTTGTTTTAGAACAGTATCTCAGGATCCCTTTACATTTTTAAAAATGATTGAGGACCCCAGGTTTTGGTTTGTGTGGGTTATGTCCATTATTAGTTACTAGCAGTAACTAAGTAGTAATAGAAATTAAAACTGAGAAATTAAATAAGTTATTTGACTTCACGGGCCCTCTGAAAGGGTCTCAGGAACCTTCAGGAACTCCTAGATCACATTTTGAGAGACATTGCTTTTTTAAAAAAATAACCACTTGATTTTACTTGGGGCCAAAAGATTGGTGGCAGAATGAAATAGCTACAAATCAGACTCAAGTCAAAGTAGCAGACAGATGCTCAACATGAATACTTAAATGGATGGAAAATAATTTTTACGCATTATTTAAAAAGACTGAGGGATGCTTTTAAGGAATGTGAAATAGAATGAAGGCATACCACTGTCATCATAGTAAATGCCTACATCTCCTGTTGCTGTGAACATAATTTCATCCATCTCCGCAGCCAGGGCTTTTCTGTGGTTTTCAGACAATGAAGAGAGCTTCTCTCTTAACACCTGAATCATCTGGATTGGAAATGGAATTGTTAATGTTAGTGCTTACTAATTCCTTTACACCAACTCACTTAATCAACCATGTAACAGTTATATAAGATATTGATATTATTGAAAACTATGCTGCCATTTCTCCCTGCCATTTCAAAAGTCAAGTATTTTTTTAAACATTTCAGTCTTGCTTTAAATAATTATTAGATGAGTCTGGTTATGGTTGATTTCCTTTGTGTGGATTCTGAAACTCCCATTTAATGTAGAAACTAATAATTTGGGAAGGGGAGAGAACCTCTTTCAATGAGTGGCTATTGTAGACATTACTTACTGATGAGGGAATAGTCTTCTATAACTAGTCTCTCATAACTTTTTAGTGACCATTCTAAATTCCAACGGCACTGAAAAAAAAGAGTAATGAATGGTTTTCACACTTACACTGCAGCATCCCCATGGACATGTGATCAAAATTTGGATTCTTGGTAACTAGCATGTATTTATGGCAGTTGCACTGTCCCCAGGGTCATGCAATTTGTGACCTTTTGTGACCTTCTGACAAGCAAAGTCAATGGGGAAGCCACATTCACTTAACAACTATGCTACAAATTTAACAACTGCAGTGATTCATTTAACAACTGTGGCAAAAAGAGAGTGTAAAGTGGGACATAACTTACTTAAAAGCTGTCCTGCTTAGCAACAGAAATTCTGGGCACAATTGTAGTTGTTAAGTCAAGGATTAACTGTGTGTCCTTAAAGGCACCCTTATAAAACATTTAATAGTTCTATTAAACTTCGTCTTTCTTCTAAAAGCCATTCAAAGCTGATGCTGTGGAAACTGACTCCAGGCAAGATCTGCTAAGTGTTCCACTACTGAGAGAGTGTCATGCCCACAATCTTTTGGAAGGTCTTCAGACCATCCTTTTTTACTAAAAGTTATTATGTTAAAACTGTAGGCAGTTCTGTTTTGGAAATGAAGTGGCATGAAAGTTGTAAAAAATAAATTAATTAAATCCTACTTTTAGAAATGATAGTGCAGCTGAAGTAGATAAACTGTCAAAAAAAAACTGAGTTAGAATAAAGGGAATAAACAGTTATAGTGGTTAAATTACACAGAAGAGAAAACATAACCTGATTGTTGCCCCTTTAAGAAAATCAAATGTAAGTTGTCAGTTTCTAGGAATAAAAAGCTATCAATTTATATGCTATTTGCTTGTTCTTTAGGAATAGAATATAAATCCAAATTGTTTCTTCCACTTTTTAATTAACTTAAGACAATGGTTTCCCTTCTCACACTCTTCAATACACAGAAGTTCAATGCTTACAATTTTTAGCCAACATATAGGAGCTGACATCTAACAAATCCACTATGTTGTGAAAAGCTGGCTCATATTATCCTCTGTAAAAAGAAATGTTTAAGGAACAGTGAGGAGAATCTGTTTTTTCACATATGAGAAATATTAAATATTTACCTCTTTTGATACAAGTTCTTCCAATACATCATATTTACACTGAGAAATTAGCCTTGAAACAACAGTAAAGGCCTGGAAAACAGACAAATGCTACTTTAATTAAGATTAAGCACAAGTGTGCAGCTCAACTACATTAATGTGCTTCTAGTGAAAACATTATTTCTAGTCTTTCAGTATTCTCAATTTGAAATGGAGAATCCTGCAGAAAAATGCAGGTTATATAGACTAGAATGTAATGTATTGTTGTCTTTGTGCATATTTAAAAAGTAAATAGTTTAGGTTCATTTAATGCAAAATACAGAAGGGCATTGTAATTTTATTGAGCTAAAAACTGATGCAGTAGAAAGAACCACAACCCACAGGCAGAGTAAGAAGACAAGAGCCCTCCGCTACTGCACAGCCATAAACACCATTTCATTTAAGCAGCATTTGCTAAACGAACCCCAAAGCTTCCTCGGAGGGGTGTTAAAAAGAAAGGGTGGGGGGAAAGCCGCCCTTCCTTTTAATATATAACACCCCGAAATGTGGCGCGGCGGTTCAACCAACGACTTACGTGCTTCGCCCCTTGCATGAACTCCTGAACGCTGAAGTCGCGGTCGAAGTAGGTGCGGATGAGGAAGAAGTAGAGGCGAGTGCGAAGCCATCTCAAGGGGTTGGGGAACCCCAAGAAGACCGCCCGCTCCTCCGTCCTGGAGTCGCCGTTGCTGCTGCTATAAAAGCGCGCGGGGGGCAGCGGTCGAAACGGGTATCGGCCAGAGAGCGGCAGGAGCTGCCCGACCCCTCCGCGCTGGGCGGCTGAACCTCTCTGGGGGGCGGGGAGCCCCCGCAGCTGCCAGCACCAGCAGCGCCTGCAGAGGACTCCCCGGTTCAGCCCCATAACTCCCCGCCTCGGCCCTCCCGTCATGCCGCGGCGACGGAAGAGACGCGGGGGGGATCGGCAGGTGGTGAACAGGCTTCCCTCGCGGTGAGGGAACGGGCTTTGCACCGCCTCTCGGGCCTGCGGGTGGGACGGAGCGGGGGCGCCTCACTCCGCCCTTGGGTTGTACAGCAGGGGTCAGACTCTCCTCGCGGCATCCCCTCCGACGGGGTTGGGGGGTCTACTGGTTTTGCGTGGCCTCGTTGCCAGCGGAGGGAAATCACCGCCGGACCCAAAGGAGGAAGTAATCGAGCGGGGACATGGAGAAGCAGCGAGTCCAGCAGTATACTGGAGTTCCACGGGAGCGTTTTTTGCAGGACGTCTATCCCCTGGTGGGTGAAACCCGGATGCTCAAGCGCTTTCTTTCCGTTTCTAAATAACGTGGCAAAGAAAGGCATGACACAGAGAATCAGCGTAGTGTAGTGTAGTGGTGGAGGTGCTGGCCAAAAAAACCAGACTGAGTTCTAGGCCGGTCTGAACGCAGTCCACTTCACAGGGTGGTGGTTATGGGGAAAATAGGCAGGAGTAATTGGTATAAGTAAAAATTAAAAGGGACAAAAATTTATTAATAAAAACAGTTCTATATAAAGTACTCAGGTGGGTCCTTTGTTTTTTTGACTTCAGGGAAAAGAATACATTTTTAATTAATCCTGCCTTTAATCAAATATTTGCTGTGCTCTACGTGGTTAATATTTACATCCTAAACCATTACCAGGTGCACATAAAGCAAGGCATGTTTTCCTTCTCCAGATAAAATAAGATGAAGATAATTAACCTTTTCTTTGTTAATTGTCATGTTTGGAATTTTTATTGCAGGCTAATTTTGGTAGCATGTTAAGTGCACTTTCAGAAAGTATCTGCCAGAATGGATTTGTTCACAACATGCTAATTTACCACAAATAAATAAAGATTACTTCAGCAGTCTTTAGCTTCCTAGAATTCTTCTTATCTTTTTTTTCCTGATTTTTGCCTTTAATATTTAGATTTGCTGCTATGTTCTTCCAGTACTTTGTTTCCTGTCTCTTTCATAGATTTATTGAAAAATGATCTAATTAAAGTATGGATTTAAAGTAAGGTTCAATTAACTGTGTCTAGATAATATTATTTAGAAATCAATTTGCTTCAAAGTAGTTGTGCAAAGAATTAGGCTGCAAAGCTCTGTAAAAAGTAGATTAATCAGTACGGTGCTGTGGGGTGTTAGTTAATGCTTATCTTGCTATTAGAATAATATGTATTTCACTAAAGCATGCTCTGTTAGAAAAATCATAAGAGTTAGAAATATAGATGTTCATTTTATTGATATATAATTTTCTAAGAAAAGATATGCTTTTCTTAGGTTTGGATAGTTGGGAGTAGAAGATAAGTCATAGCCTTTTGTTTGTTTCTAATAGCAAAATGGTGGCATGTTATCCAATAACTTTTTTTTCATTCTCAGAGAAAGCCTGCAGTACTGAAAGGAATAGATCTGGGCCCTTGTGTGACCAAATGGACAGTAGATTACCTTTGTCAAGCATCAGGGAAAAAAGAAGTAAAGGTTCACGTTTCCACTGTGCCACAGATGAACTTCCTTAGTAAGAACTTTGTGTATAGGTATTCTGTTCCAAGCTTTACTCTGTTTTTATAAGTGAGAACTGGTAGCAGCTCAGATGTTGCTGTTCTAGTTAGAACATGCCATGCTTAGCTCAAAACAAATTAGAGATGTGCCATTTGGGAAGAAAAGCAAGCAGTTATAGAACTATTTGCATTAATACATCTTATGGCTCACTTAGTTTTTCCTGACCTAGATGGTAGGGATTTTGTACTGACTTTATGTTGTCAATCCAGCTACACATTTTCATGATGGCTACAGTTGGCAGGCTTTGTGTATAAGTGTCCAAGATCAACTTTTTATATTCTCCCACCTATCTCTTATACAAAACTTGTTTTCCCATCATAGAAATAATTGTACTACCTTAACTAATGAAGCAAATAGGCTGATTTAATCTTCAAATTCAATAAATCAAATTATTATAATTTGTCTGAAATTCCTACAGTGTTTTCTATGGCTGCCTTCTCTGTGTCACAGTCAGTCAGCCATTGCAACTACAATGAAGTCACAGTATACTCTAGCTTACAGTCAGATTTATTCTCATTAAAAAAAATGAAAGCAATTCTGCATACTACTACAAAGAAGATGTTTTAAGATAGTTATTAACAGTCAGTCCAATCTGTTTAAAATATTTTGATAACTTTTATTTTGAATTTTAGAACACTGCCTTTTGATGTATTTATAAAGAGAGCAGCTGAAATCAAACATTCGGATTATTTTCTTTCTGAGGTAATATATTATTTTCTTACTGAGCTGATTTTTTTAATGTAGGTTCTTTTTCAGTTACCAAACTACATGGCACTTGATAAGTCAATTAAATATTAATGTGCCTATTCATTGCAATTTATTTTCCTTATGTTTGCATTTTTAAGGATGAAAAGTATTATTTACGATCACTGGGAGATGATCCCCGAAAGGTGAGTACATTGTATATGATACAAATGTTCTCCCTGAGCTATCCTGGATAATCCTTCAATAAGTTTGTGCTTTTTTAACTATGTTTAAATAGAGAGAATGGAGAATCATAAAGCTGATAGAGAAAAGGATTGATTAGTGTTATCACTATTATTTCCTGGAACAGATCAGGAAATAGATGTTTTTGCAAAAAAAGTTCTATCCTACCCTGCAACTCCCTGACTCATGATTTGGAAAGAGATTTGAAAAACAGTATTTCATTGAAGTTCTGAGCCAAATATTATCTTGTTTACCCATATTAACTTCAGCAATTCAATATTAAAACTATTCATATCTTTTTTGTTCCTTTGTGAAATGTATTTCTTTAGAATCTGGAAATGAATGAAGGATTTGAAGTGTTTCAAATGAAGCCAAATGCTTATTGTGCATTATTTGAACTTGTTCAGTCCAAATATGGATAAATTTGATGGCTGGCCTGGAAACTTGCCTTCTTCTAAATATCTTATTGAAAGCCCAAGCTAACAAGAATCTCTTGAATTGAAAAGTTTTTGCAGTTCATGGGGGAGGAAACTAGCAGACTTACAGTTATGGACTAAGGTCCTTTTGTCTTTCTGTAGCATCATTTTCCTCTTCCAGGGGTTTCAGATATAATTGGATTCCTACATTGCACTAAGCCATAGAATGGTTTGCTTTTGGCTTCAAATGCTGTGTGAACCTTGCTATGATTTCTACATGCTGTTTTATAACTTAACATACTATGCAACTCTAGTCAAGGTAAATATTTTTGTTTCAGGATATTGCAGACCTGAGAAAGCAGTTTCCTTTATTGGCAGATGACATTCAAATTCCAGAATACTTTGATAAGGAACAGTTTTTCTCTACTGTGTTCCGCATAAGTTCAGAAGGTCTACAACTTTGGACACACTATGATGTAAATAATATATTCCTAAAAAATTATTAAAGAAAAGTATGCTAAACAGATTTTGACCTTTATGTGAAGAGGACTCTGTAATTTCCTTGAAAATATTTAAAAGGAATGCTGTAGGTGTTAAACTAAGTCAGGACTTTCTTTTTCTAAATTAAGATTAAGGATTTATACTCCAAACAATAATAAACCCTTAAAACACAATGAATACAGTTTGAATGTTAAAAAGACAGCAAAACAATATTTTTTAAAAAGTTGTAGAACATTCTGACCCTTATGAAGTTCTTCAGGAATTCCACCTACAGGTGAAACTTGAAAAATTAGAATATTGTGCAAAAGTTCATTTATTGCAGTAATGCAACTTAAAAGGTGAAACTAATATATGAGATAGACTCATTACGTGCAAAGCAAGATAGTTCAAACCGTGATGTGTCATAATTGTGATGATTATGGCTTAACAGCTCATGAAAACCCCAAATCCACAATCTCAGAAAATTAGAATATTGTGAAAAGGTTCAATATTCTAGGCTCAAAGTGTCCCACTCTAATCAGCTAATTAAGCCAGAACACCTGCAAAGGGTTCCTGAGCCTTTAAATGCTCTCTCAGTCTGGTTCAGTAGGAAGCACAATCCTGGGAAAGACTGCTGACCTGACAGTTGTGCAGAAAACCTTCATTGACACCCTCCATAAGGAGGAAAAGCCTCAAAAGGTAATTGCAAAAGAAGTTGGATGCTGTAAAGTGCTGTATCAAAGTACATTAATAGAAAGTTGTGTGGAAGAAAAAGGTGCACAAGCAGCAGGGATGACCGCAGCCTGGAGAGGATTGTCAGGAAAAAGTGTTGGGGACTTTCACAAGGAGTGGACTGAGGCTGGAGTCAGTGCATCAAGAGCCACCATACACAGATGGATCCTGGACATGGGCTTCAAATGTCATATTACTCTTGTCAAGCCACTCCTGAACAACAAACGATGTCAGAAATGTCTTACCTGGGCTGAAGAAAAACAACTGGTCTGTTGCTCAATGGTCCAAAGTCCTCTTTTCTGATGACAGCAACTTTTGCATCTCATTTGGAAACCAAGGACCCAGAGTCTGGAGGAAGAATGGAGAGGCACACACTGCAAGATGCTTGAAGTCCAGTGTGAAGTTTCCACAGTCTGTTTTAATTTGGGGAGCCATGTCATCTGGTGTTGGTCCACTGTGCTTCCTTAAGTCCAGGGTCAACGCAGCCGTCTACCAGGAGATTTTGGAGCACTTCATGCTTCTTTCTGAAGATGAGCTTTATGGGGATGCTGACTTCATTTTCCATCAGGACTTGGCACCTGCCCACACTGCCAAAAGCACCAAAATTTGGTTCAATGACCATGGGATTACTGTGCTTGATTGGCCAGCAAACTCGCCTGACCTGAACCCCATAGAGAATCTATGCAGAAGAGCTGAAGGCCGGTATTGCAGCATCCTGGTCTTCCATAACCCCTCAGCAGTGCCACAGGCTGATAGCTTCCACGCCGCATTGAGGCAGTAATTGCTGCAAAAGGGGCCCAAACCAAGTACTGAGTACATATGCATGCTTATACTTTTCAGAGGTCTGATATTGTTCTATGTACAATCCTTGTTTTATTGATTGCATGTAATATTCTAATTTTCTGAGATTGTGGCTTTGGGGTTTTCATGAGCTGTAAGCCATAATCATCTCAATTATGACAAATCACGGCTTGAACTATCTTGCTTTGCATGTAATGAGTCTCTCATATTAGTTTCACCTTTTAAGTTGCATTACTGAAATAAATGAACTTTTGCACGATATTCTAATTTTTTTGAGTTTCACCTCTATGATATTTGTTCTTATTCGTGCTTGATACAACTTGTCCATTTAAATACAACTAGAGAAGCCTTAAATCTAGACTAAGCCATTTCTACTTTGTTCCTATAATTTCAGCTGGAGGAATGATTATTAATAGGATATAATGAATGAGTACTGACATATGTAAAGAAACTTTGAGGCAGGGTGTGGGAGTCATGAGCTTGAGTATTGGATAACTGAGGAAGTATGGAGTAGTTTTTGATGAATGAAAGAACTGTGACAAAGAATTTCTCTTATATCTGATTTAATTAGGCATTTGGATTGGTTGATAAAATGGCACCTTATCTGCTCTTGAAACTAGTACTATGGTATTTATGAAACTACACACATTTAGGGCAGCTTTCTAATTTCTTGCTTCTTAGCATCATCAAGCTTGCTGGTAGTATGCTTTGGATTGGATTATGAACATGTTCTGATCTAGTTAACTGCTTTTTAAAAAGATACTGTATAGTCAATCAGCTGTTTTATGAGTATCCCTCAATGTATTAAGTCTAGTCAGACATATTGTTCTCCTCCAAATGAGATACAGGTAGTCTTCGTTTGCTGACCATTCAGCAATAATTTAAAGTTATAATGGCCCCAAGGAGATTTAACAATTGTTCTTTGAAGTTCTAGCTGTCCCAGCACTACTGATATTATGTGATTGCAATCAGGTGTTTGGCAACTGGCTCACACTTAGTGACCATTGTAGCATTATGTGGTGTCATGATTATCATGTGCAACCTTTCCTGCTGGCTTCCCACAAGCAAACTCAATGGGGAAGCCATCAGGAAAGGCCATAGGTAGTTCCAGTGAGTTTCTTGCATCCTCCTCCACCTGGTAGCAGCCACCCCCAGCTGCATTCATACTGTGCCTTGTAGATTACTTACCGCCCTCTCCTCACCTGGCAACAGCTACCCCTGGCCTCATGGCACATGTGTCATGCAGCCTACCTGGTGGCCTGCTTGTGAGCTGCCTGACATTTGCTTAATGACCTGAGGTCCTCACTTAACGATGGCAATGAGCATTACTAGGATTGCCATCCATAAGTCATGCAGTCAGTGATATTACACTTTACAACCACATCACTTAGTGATGGAAAGTCTGATCCCAATTACAGCTGTTAACCGAGGACTATCCTTACCTCAGTGCTGCACATGGAATATATTAATTTGCTTCAGGTTTTTAAGACATAGGCTTGAAGATTTTGATTGAGTACCAGTATCTTTCAATCTAAACAACAGTACCATCTGTACTTGGAGTGTATTGGGGACAAGCAGGGCATTAACGTTGTTTGAACATCTGCAGGGAGGACAGGAAATAATGCAATATTTTGCTGCTAATACTACAATCATTGTTGGTGTATCTATATAATCTTAGTGTGGGTTCGTATCCAGAGGTAAAGATATAAAGGTAGACAATGAGAGGCAGTTATTTTACCTTTATAATGCCAAGTGCTCCCTACGTGCCTTTTTTTTTAATTAACAGAGAATCTCCTATTTCTCCACATAAGGGCAAGAGACTAAAGGTTCATGATCTGACATGGTTTTCAGAGTCATTGTAAATGAGTATTATTGCTAATATGTTGGCTCTAATTTAATATAGCTGCAAGTCTTATCTGATCACATGCTCAGTAATGTTTACTGTTTTTATATTTGTAGATAATGGATAACTTCTTAATTCAGGTGACGGGAAAGAAACGAGTTGTACTCTTCAGCCCCCGTGATGCACCGTATTTATATTTATCAGGTGTGTTTCTATGGGTTACCTAGCTTAAAAGGCGATACATAAGACTTGAAGAACACTCCTCCTGCATCAGATCACATTTCCCTTATTTATAATGTTCCAGCTTCCACTTTGGTTGCCTAGATATCTCTAGGGTCTGTTGGAATAAGTGTCTCGTGTTCTTTTGATTCAGTGTCAGACAAACTCAACTTTGTATTGCTTTTGAAACCTGGATCATTTAGTAGCTGTCAGTAAACTACCTTTCAGACATTTGGTGTAATCCCTTTTTACAACTGTTTAAAGTAGTTATCTTCTATATCAAAGTTCCCCAATCTTTCCAGCTTTGCGGCCTGGTGAGGTGTGTGGAGTGGATGGTTCTGCCACTCACATAAATGGAGCATGCACATGCTTGCCCACTGCTTGCGCATGTTCTGAAACTCTGCAGCCTTGTTCCAAATGGCTCAGGGCCCAGTAGTGGGCTGCGACTCAGGGGCACTCTTGTTCTATACCATTTATCTTGCATTGTGTACAATGTTTTTTTTAAAATCTTTAACATAATTGTTAATAACAATGGATGATTCAAAATTCTGTTGAGTATTTTGTTACTTTCATTTGTTGTTCATTTTTAATAATCCTTTATTGAACCTCTTTCCCTGAATCTGTTGTCATTATTCTCATTTGTAAACTTTAAAGTTTTTCATAATCTTGGATATCCTTTTGTTTATCCTCCAAGATAACCTTGATTTTTGATAACTTTGTAAACAAATATTAAATTACTGGAACTTTTACTATTACTAAGATCTCTCCTACCCTGGGGCACCCCATCCTTCATTTAATGACCCGCACATCTGCATTGGGGAAGAGCAGAGATGAAGGATCATAAAATGAGGTGCTTCTCTTAATGGCTATCCTGACTTCTGACTGTAATGGGCAGGCTAATGAGCTAATGAGATGCAAATAGCTAAAGATCAGTTGACACTTGCTTTGTGCAGTACCATCTCCATTCTAGATGACACTGAAGAGCAGACTTGCTATTTGATATTTGCTTGAACCATATATATTTCCAAAATTGGCATGCACTGAATAAAGGAGAGCTACTCTGGAATGAAATAGTGTGATCTTTGATCAGTTAAACAGTAGTGTTTCTGAGATTGCAGAGAAAGGATGTCCCATTTGGTGTAATAAAAACTTAAATTGCATCATATTGTAGTTAATATTGATTTAGTGCTATTTGATAGCTTAAAAGAACTAGAGAAATGGAAAACCATAATTTTGGCACTCAACTTGAGGCACATAGTATTCTCTGTGTGTGTGTGCACGAGAGTCTTTCTCTCCTGGATGTTTTACTCCCAAATGAGAGGTGTAAATATTATGCTGGTGGCATTAAGAATAATACAGTTTAATAGAAGCATTATCATTGATCGTTCATTGAACTCTTCATTAGGCACAAAGTCTGAGGTACTAGATGTGGATAAACCAAACATGAAGAAATATCCTCTCTTTATCAAGGCTAGACGTTATGAATGTCAGCTGGAAGCAGGAGATGTCTTATTCATTCCTGGTAAGAAAACCAACAACAAATTTTCTTTTTTTTTTTAAAGGACTGTTGAAGATTGCCTATTCTTTGGCCTGATTCAGCTTAAAATTTAATCAGTCACAGGAGAGTGTTTTTTATGACTGTATGTTAACATGGAGCAAATCATGAATTATAGTGATCTGACTCATATTGTGGTAAAACCATAGGTTTTGACATGGTTTTTGTCCTTTTGTCTCATTTGCATATCATGCTAAGCCAGAGTTAAAAAAAATAAGTGAACACACTTCCATTCTTATCTGTGAGAACCTATGTAACCAAATTTTTTAATACAAATTCTTAACTAATAAAAACTCTAATTTTTAAATGGTATAGTGAGTTGTATTTTTTAGTAAGTCATTGATGAAAAAAAACCTAGAGAAAATAAATGAGGCTTTTAAATTCTGAGCAGCACAAAATTATATGGCCACAATCTATATCAAGTGCAAAATTCACTTATGTTATCTATAACGAGCAAATTAATTCTTTTTCATTATACTTCAGGAGGGAGAAGACAATAAGGGGAAAAAAATAAAAAACTGTAGCTTCCAACTTTCTTTGATACAGTTATTACTAATATAAAAAACAACCTTTTGATCTAAAATTCAAGCAAAAAGTCCAAAAGTGGTTTCCATATAGAAGCAAAGCTATAAAAAGTCTTTTCAATCAAAGTAGTTAATTTCCTCATCTCAGCCATCCATTAACTTTACCATCCATTATTACATTATGGCAATCTATATAGGTAGTCCTCAACCTAAGACCACAATTGAGGGGGAAATTTCCATTCCTAAGCAAGATAGGTGAGTTTTGCCCCATTTTACAACCTTTCTTGCCACAGTTGTTAAGTGAATCACTGCAGTTGTTAGGGTAGCAACATGGTTGTTAAGTGAATCTAGTTTCCCCATTGACTTTGTTTGTCAGAAGGTTGCAGAAGGTGATCACATGATCTCGGGACACTGCGACTCATAAACTCAGGGCAATTGCCAAGTGTCCAAATTTTCATCCTGTGACCATGGGGATGCTGCAATGGCTGTAAGCATCAAACAGTAATGAGTCACTTTTTTCAGTATGATTGTAACTTCAAACAGTCACTAAATGAATGGTTGTAAATTGAAGATTATCTGTCTTTCTAATGTTACCATATATAAAAACAAAGTCCCATTTTTCCCCAAATGGTTATCCATCAAACTTAGGAAGAAACACCTCTGGTTTCATTTGTACATTTATTTAAAAATTATTTAAATTATTTATTTAATGCCAATAATTTGTAGCTTTCTTATATGTCCATCAAAGATGTTAAAAGGTGCCTTCAGAAGGATTATACTTCCAACATATATTTGATACACTTCTACATCTTTGATAATTTTTGTTGTTGTTAGTTGCGAAGTCATGTCCAACCCATCACGATCCCATGGACAACGTTCCTCCAGGCCTTCCTGTCCTCTACCATCCTCCGGAGTTCATTTAAGTTCACGCCTACTGCTTCAGTGACTCCATCCAGCCACCTTATTCTCTACCATCCCCTTCTTCTTTTGCCCTCAGTTGTTCCCAGCGTTAGGCTCTTCCCCAATGAGTTCTTCCTTCTCATTCAGTGGCCAAAGTATTTGAGTTTCATCTTCAGGATCTGGCTTTCTAAAGAGCAGTCAGGGTTGATCTCCTAGAGGAGTGACCAGTTTGATTGCCTTGCAGTCCAAGGGACTTGCATGAGTCTTCTCCAGCACCATAGTTCAAAGGCCTCAATTCCTTGGCTCTCAGCCTTCTTTATAGACCAGCTTTTACAGCCATACATTGCAACTGAGAAAACCATAGCCTTGATTATATGCACTTTTGTTGGCCGGGTGATGTCTCTGATTTTTAGTATGCTGTCTAGATATGCCATAGCTTTCCTTCCCAGGAGCAAGCATCTTTTAATTTCTTGGCTGCAGTCCCATCTGCAGTGATCTTGGAGCCCAGGAAAATAAAATCTGTCACTACCTCCATTTCTTCCCCATCTATTTGCCAGGAATTGAGAGGGCTGGATGCCATGATCTTAGTTTACTTAATGTTGAGTTTCAAGCCAACTTTTGCACTCTTCTTCCTCACCTGCATCAAGAAGCTCTTTAGTTCCTCTTCACTTTCTGCCATTAGAGTGGTATCATCTGCATATCTGAGGTTGTTCTCCCGGCAACCTTAATTCTCAACTTTTGATTCATGTAGCCCTGTCTTTCTCATGATGTACTCTCCATATAAGTTAAATAGGCAGGGTGACAGTATACAGCTTTGCTGAACTCCTTTCTCAATTTTGAACCAATCAGTGGTTCCATGTCTAGTTCTCACTGTTGCTTTTTCATGGCAAAGATACTGGAGCGGGTTACCATTTCCTTCTCCAGTGGTTCACGTTTTGTCAGAACTCTCTACTATGACCTGTCCATCTTGGGTGGCCCCGCAGGGCATAGCTCATAGCTACGCAAGCCCCTTTGTCATGACAAGGCAATGATCCATGAAGGGGTTTATCAGATGTTAAATACTAATGATATATCATATTGTAAAAATTCTTGTTTCAAATTATAGTTTAAAGTGTATTTTCAATCCCTTACTCCCCATACTCTCCAACTGATGCAGCATTTTATCTCCTTTTTTGCTCAATTAATCATTCAGTCTTTAATTCATTTTGTATGTTCATTTTCATTCAAAGTCTATACATCTTGGCAATAATATGTTTATCATTAGTACCCAAACCAAATTCAGTTTTGTCATTTGTAAAACCTAAACTACTCTTATGTACTTTAAATCTATCAATTGAACATAAGCAAACCATTAATAGTAAAACTCTCCTTTTCCAGTTCTTCTCGTTTTTAATTTAAAGTTTTCTTCAGAAAAAGTAAGTCTGCTTAAATCAACCGAGTTGTGTGGTTATCGTTTCTTTTCTATGAAAAGGGGTAGCAACCAAAAGGAATTTTGGACATAAATCTTGCGTTATACCTATTCCAGACCTTCAATATGGCATACCTAACAAAGTGATGTTGAAAATTTCTATTAATTTTGTCATTACATAGATCGATATGCCACCCATAGCTCAAATCATATCCTTCTAACTCCAATAACTCCCTCTCACAAGCAAGTTGATTCTAACATAAGAAAAAGCAATAGAAAAAACAAGCAATATTGAAATATTAGCAGGTGCAAGAGATGTAGCCCATGTATTTGATTACATTTATGAGACTGCATTAATATATTAAAAATGAATGTAGTAATATAATACATGATAGTCATATATTTGTAAATAAATGCTTGTAGCATTCTATGCATAATGAGTGAGACTTGTCATAATCCAGTATAAGATTAAATGTCTGAGGCAACATTTCATATTATATACAACTGGAAGATCACTCAGATTGCAGGAGCTTCCATTTCGGCTTTCAATAGAGAATAGCAGTTTTTGTGTGGATAGGTCAAACCATACACTTCATTTTACAAGTTATACTATTCTGCCTACTGTAAGAGGAAAGTTGTTTGATCTATTGTAGCCAAAATCATGAGCCAATAGCTTATGCCTTTTAATAAATATGTTAGTCTGAAGAAATGCTCCTCCTCATTTTTACTCTGCACATTTAAATTGATGTCAGACCCATTATATGATTGGGTTAGAAGAGCCAAAAGTAACTGCAACAGTTTATTACATCCATTTTATTTATTACAATTTTCCAGATATGAGAATTTGGGCTACTTCCAAGGATACATGACTGTTCTTTCATCTGAAGCTATTTTTAGCACATTAGCTTGGGTACTAGCTGGATTGGTAGGTGGTCATTTGAAGATCAGATGTAACCTTTTTCTTATCAATTTAGATTTAATCAGGTTGGAGTGATGATCAATATAATTTAAAGGAATGCTCTTTGAAGTAGAATAAAGTGCCTCATACATAAAAAATAACAGTTCATAGTAGCTATCTGCTAATTTGAAAACTCTTGGCATAACCATCATTAACAGGTCAATTTTTAATTTTCAAAATTCAAAGAATCCATATCTGAACAGTTTGAACACCAATGAGATCTGCACATCTAGTACAGCTAATAATGATGAGTTATAGTTACTAGATATGTATCCTTAGTAGTATAAGTTTCTTCAGACCGCAAACTGGTAAGCATACATGAGGCAAGAAAGAAAAGGAAAGATAAAAACACAATGTTAGGAATAGATTTTTGAAGCTATACTCTGGATGCCACTTGAACCTAAATTAGTTTGTTAGGTGAAATGGGAGTAGTAATTTTCATGGATTATCTTGCTTTCTCAGCCCCTCCTCTTAATTGTTTTTAACAGGTAGTCCTTTACTTACCATCACAATTGGGCTTGAAATTTCAGTTGTTGAATGGTTATTAGGGAGATGCCATATGATCACTTCATTCAACAATGGTGATCTCAATTCCTGTTATCATTAAGTGGAATGCTGGAGGAAGGGCCAAGTCCTGGACATGGTGGGATGGGGGTCAGGGCCTCCTGGGAAGCCTGAGCCCTTACCTCAGCAGGAAGATGATTCATAAGAATGGTGGTTTATTCACTAGGGTTTTGAAGTCCATTCCTCCAATGTGTCAAGGGATTTCCCCTCTGGAGAGATTTGCACATCCTTCTGTGCACTGGAGGAATAGACCTCAAGTCTGTTTAAAAAGCTAGCAATTGCAATAGTTCAGGGAGGCTCAGAACACTGACATTTGCTAGTATTTGCTCCTTTCCTTTGGGCAGGAAAACACTAGCAAATATCAGCATTCTGAAAGGCTCAGAACAGAAGGCTGGCATTTGCTGGTGTTTTGGGCAAATTTGAGGATTGTTTCTCCAGTGTGTGAGGATTCCCCCTCCCCATATGGAGGAGAGTTTCCTTGGTGCACTTGAGGAATGAACTCACAGCATCGCCTTTGCTTACAATCTTCCCTGCTGGCTTCCACATTGACTTTCTGGGGAAGCTGGCAGAGATGATTGCAAATGGTGATCACAAGACACTTGGCAAACAGTTGTAAATGCAGACAGGGTTGCCAAATGCCTGAAATGCAGTCATGTGACCAGAGGAGGGCATTCCAGTGCAGCATTTTATGATGGCCAGAAGTGCCTTATGGTCTTCAAAGACTCATTCTGAGGCTGTCATGACTGCGAATAAATGACCGGTCCTAAGTCAAGGATTACAAGGGACTTTCAGAACAGTTTTGGATGTGCAGCTTGAAGAATCAGCAAAAAAATGGCTTTAACTTTATTCACTGGGATTTCTAGTTAGTGAGTTTTTTCCCAGCCACAACTCGCTACTACAAATTTCCTCTAAGTGGTCTAAATCTAGCCTAAAGAATCTATAGTCCCAAGTATATTTTCAGAACAATTTTCAAATCTTCAATTTATAGAACCATGGTATATTTAACATGTTTGCAAGATTGAAGCATCTTCCTGTAAAACTGTCATTGTAAAACAATTACTGGTTGATAACTAGAAATTAAATATTTTTTCAGTACATGTGTAAAATATATTTCATGACTTGTGGTTCTCCCCCCCCCCCCCCCCCCCAAGCCTTGTGGTTCCATAATGTGACTTCTGAGGAATTTGGAGTTGGAGTCAATGTTTTCTGGAAGCAGCTTCCTTCTGAATACTATGATAAAACTGATACATATGGAAACAAAGATCTCACTGCAGCTTCAAGAGCAATACAGATTTTGGATAGAGCACTAAAAACCCTAGAAGAACTTCCTGAGGAATACAGAGACTTCTATGGTAGGAGAATGGCATTACGCATCCAAGACAAAACTTACAGCAGTAATTATGAATAAAAAACATTTTTGAATACTTGTCTTAGAAACATATATTGAATTATCTCTTGTGAACCAATTAATAGGATGGCCATTGGTGTAATTTGTGCAAAATATTTCTTTTTTGTTAGTTCTTCCCCTTTGTGTCTGCATAACGATTTCAGATACTTGACTTTTCCTTCTGGCCAGGACAGCCTCTGTCCGACTGATTATGTCCAGTAAGGTATCAGTACAATCTAAGCTACTGATTGGAAGCAAAATTTGTAACTGGAATCTACAGTGTTTATTTTTCATGCTTAGAAAATAAATTTAAGAGTTTAAAAATAAATAAATTACATCTACTCAGATTAGTACTGAACAATGTACTCTGCAGTTTAGTAAACATCAAAATATTTTATTGAACTGAATATTCTTTTAAAGAAAGCTGTCTTCAATTTTTTTGTCCAATTGTCTTCTGATTCTCTATTGAAACAAAAGTATCTTAACTCCATTCAGAAAAATAAAGTTCAATTTATGTCAGTATCTACTGTAAGAAAAACATAAAATGAATTTATAAAGCCAGCTTTCAAAGGTAAATATTTCACATTGAAAATATTGGCATAGAAAATTCAGTATATCTTACACTGTGACAAAGTTAATGAGCTGTAGTGAAGGCATTCAATATATTATTTCCCTTTCTTCAGCCCCAAATCTTTCTCAATCTTCAAGAGTGAATTTGGGAAACGGAAGAACTCACTTTACTGCTAGACATCATTTCAGTAAATAGATATAATATCCTAATTGTAGACTGAATTAATTTCTTCAGAATACTGTAAGACTCACCTATTCTTCTGGCATCTTCTAATTCTATTGTGAAGCAATATGTGAATAGTGTCTAGTAAAAGCTGGATATTTTGGTTGTAGACTTTTAATTTGGAGAGGACTAAATGACTAATTTGGAGATGACCAGAATGTTATTTTTAAAACACGAAGAAGATTGCTTCAGAATAGATTTCAAATTGCAACAATAGGAAAAATCTCATTGGAAGGTATGAAAAGCAAAAATCCCTGCATTTTGGCTGCACAAACAACAACATGAGATTTGACCTACTTAACATCCTAGCTTTCCCTCTTCCATGCGCACATCCCTTTGGAAATGCTGAAGTGAGGGTAATAAATAAAAAGGGGTCAGTGTACATAATATCTCAAATTCACCCACAGTGAGTTATTGGATCAGGACAAATAGCCATTTCACATTGATACTGAGGTGATAAACTTGCATCATCTTTACATAGTATGAGATGGCATCAAAGTCTATGCTAAAGGTCTACTGCTAACAAACCACAACTTTCTTATTCTCACAGCTCTCTCACGACACCAGAGAAGGAAAAATGGCTTCCACGGAACAAGCATATCATTAAATTCCACCGATTATAACCAAACAATAATTTTATAGCTTACTCATGTTCAAAAGCTGTGTGGCTTATACAATAGATAGTAAGCAGGCAGTTTTTACTCTCGCAAATAAGGATCTCCATTTGTATTGATTCCTCTACCTTAACTTTCTATCCCATTTTAAAAAGTTACTTTTGAAGGGTGTCCTTCTTGCAAAACACAGAATGGAATAATATGGAAAAATGTAGTTAGGAGGATATTCTATGAAAATTATCAAACCTTTTCTGTTATAGCAAAAACAATTTAGACATAGTCTTTGACTTTTAACGTAAGTTTTTTCTAGCAATAATTTTAGCTTATCTTTCAACAATATTTTGTTCATCCAAGTTTTAAGGCGGGGTCCCCAACTCCTGGGCCATGGCCCACTACCAGGCCTTGAGCTGTTCAGAACTGGGTAAGAGAAAGTGATGGGAGAGTGTGCACGCACATCCTCACTTGCACAAGCAGCAGGCAAGTGCATGCACACACACCCCATCTGCACAGAACCATCCACCCTCCCTCTTCAGGGCTACAAAGCTGAAAAGATTGGGAAATTGTTTTAAGGGACCCTGTTGTCTTCACAAATCATTTAAAATTCAGGTGAATTCTCTATTCTCCAAATTCCATTTTCAGATAGTGTTCTGGTTTCTAGTAATTAGCTTTCAAAGAATGTATAAAAGTATTGATCAATTGCACTGATGGATTAATACTTTAATTTTTAACTACAGAAAATCAAAATGTTTTACACTGGTGATCCTTCTCTCACATAATTGCCATTTTTTAAGAGAATGCTGCTTGATGTTCCTGTGCTATAAATAATAACTATATGCTACTATCATTTTTGCAAAACTTACAGTATTAATATAATTAATTACATGGCTTATATTCAGCAAAGTAATAATTACAGTTGTAAAAATTCTAACAGTCTCAAGTTACAAAAGCTCAACACTATATTGAGCGTTAAGCTTTCATCATTAATATGGAATGTTGAACCACGTGAGAGTGTACATTTTTGGTCTCACACACAAAGTTGTTCAATTCTCTTCCAGTGCCCGCCCCTGAAAAAAAAAATACAACATCTGTAGATGCTTGCAATGGTTAGAAATTGCAGGGCATCTCTCTGGCACAACAGTACAGTAGTTATTCACCTTATTCCCAAGGTTAATATATACTTATTGCAATGAAGATAAATACTGTCAAAATAATCAATTTACTGCATTGCTTGTGCTAAAGTACTAAATGTTTAGAGTAGCTTTGCTATTCTAATAATTATCCCATCTAAATAACAGGATTTTATTCAAAAACAAAACATAAATTTCATCAATTTAGAAGAATTTGAAAGTGATGTTTTTATACCTATGCTTGAAAGTTTTGCTCATTATAATTCTAGACAAATCTTTCCTATAACATTAATCTGAAGTAAGGTTTTTTTTCTTTTTGCTCTTAAATTGGTTTTTCTCATCATTGCCTTGTTCAGATCAAAAACTAACTTTCTGGTGACTTCAGTTACAAGCAGTAGACACATCAAATTCATCTTAGAAGTCATATACAATATTTCCTCTTCCAAGTGTTAACAAAACACAAATTAAACTTGAAGTTTAAGATCTATTTTGCAGATACAGTATAATGGCATTATTAACATATCAAAATACTTCATGCACTTTGAAGTGATTTTCCAAAGAAGGTGCTTCATCAGCAAAATGAAGTTGGCTATTTATATTTGCACCAAATTCCTCAAGAAGTTGTACAAATCTCTTGTGCTCTTTTCCAATCCATGTTCTCATTGTATCAAATACCTGATATGGTGTGACATGAGCATTAACTGAAATTCCAGTCTGTGAAAACTCTCTCAGCACATGAGGGTATGTTACCCAAGTATTACTTCCTCCAGAATGACCGCCATCCAACCAGTACATAGCTTTTATATTTTGTATAAAATCATCTATATCCTTGTCCTTTTTTGCTTCTTTCAGTTCATGAAGTAATTGATTCAAGACAACACAACCTTTACTGAATCCTATTAATGTGAATGAATTTCTACCAATAGCAGAAGGCTCATTAAAGCTCACAGCAGAATTGCTAACATGTTCACAGTGTTTCTCTGCTGCTGGGCAACCATTACTAGTTGCAAAAGTAGGTAATTCACAAGAAACTGCCTCTGTATTGTCGCTGAACTCGTGCATGTTTTTCTGAGACACCAAAAATTTTTGAGCAAGTTTAAATGCATTAACTAGCAGGGCATGAAGGTGTCTGAAGGCTCCAAAGTCAGTAGTATGTTCAGGTGCTCCAAATAAATTGCTTGCCACAAAATTATCATAGCAGCTGAACTTGTGCAAATGCATTCGGGAACATTTTATAATCCAAATGTAACTGCCTGGAAAACGATGACCAAGAATAATTGCAACATTTTCTAAGCACCATTGTTTCCACTGGAAGTTCTCTGGATGACAAGCCATAATTTCATGATAGTTCTGAAATAAAATAAAGGCATTATTTTAGAGGAAACTATTAGAAAAAAACCTGCAGGTCACATGCAGAGTAGAAATAACACATACTTATTCTAATAAAATTTGATGAATGCATGCATTTGAAATGAATACAGCTGTCCCTTTTAAGATATTCCAGTCTACTGTAACTTATCTGATTTTTTTGACTGAGTATGTATGTATGTATGTATGTATGTATGTATGTACGTAAGTATGTATGTATGTATGTATGTAAGTATGTATGTATGTATGTATGTATGTATGTATTCAATTTCTCAATGACTGGGTGGCTTAAAAGTAAAAAAAAAAACCTAAAACACTAAAGTATTTTCAAACAATCAAACAATAAAAACATGCAAATTGAATATACATAGCAGCTGAGATACTTGGCCAGTGTAGTGTTAGCAATAAAGCCAGGAAACGTGGCCCTTAACATCTTCAGTACCCCCGGCTTTGGAACTAGCCAGAACAGGGTTGGGGACTTTCTAATCTCCGAAGGGAGGAAGTTCCAGAGCAGGGGCCACTGCAGAAGAAACCTGTCATCTAGTCCTCAACAGTTGATACTCTTTGGCTGATGGGATCTGCAGCATGCCCATTCTGCTAGATAAGAGTTGGATGGGTAGAGACTCTTGGAAAAAGATGGTCCCGCATATAATCTGGCCCCAAGCCATGGAGGTCTTTAAAAGTGACAACCAGCACTCTGAATTGCCCCCAGACACAAACTGGTAATCAATGCAGCTCATGAAGAAATGGGGTTACGGGTGCTATATATCTTGTGCCATTTACCATTTGCATTCTAGACCAGTTGAAGTTTCCAAATGCCCTTCAGGGACAGCCCCACATCGAGCATGTTGTACTAGTTTAAATGAGAAATTACAAAGGTGTGAGTTACTGTGAGCAGGGCCTTCTGACCCAAGAATGGGTGCACCTGGTGTATCACCTGAAGATGTGCAAAGGCTCTTAGCCATGACTGCCACCTGCTCTTTGAACAGGAGCAGTAAGTCTAGGACTCTAGGAGGATTTCCAGATTGCACAATGAGTCTGCCTCGGGTTGTATAACCCCATTCAGAACTAAAGATGGACAAGTCTTGGTCTCTGGAAGCTGCTTCATCTTTCTAAGATTGAGTTACAGCCCAATGATGTTAAATGCCATCAAAGCCTTTAAAGCTAAAATGACTTAGGATATCTTCCAACACTTCCATTTGTTACAAAATACTCTGGAATTTGGGTAGATATGCAGCATCATTAACACCAACCTAAAAAATGGAGACAAATATCTTCTATTTCAATTTGCATCTTAGAAAACTGAAACTCTGATTTCTCTACAATAATATGACGATCGTTTATCTTCCATTATTAACCTTTTCTGAGCTAAGTATTGTATATTTTTTATTTCAGCTGGCTCAAACCTGATTCATTCTGCTGAGCTGTAATTATAATAACTGGTTTTTCTCCTTGCCACCAATTTAGCCACGGGAAGAGAAAAAAACCCACAACCACCACAGAGACAACAGCCTCATTTCTTTTACTGTGGAATAAGAATAAATAATGGCCACCATGGAAAACCTTTTTGGATTAAAAATGATACAAACAACCTAGAGCAACTCAAAGGTTGGCAAGATCGCTGGTGCAAGTCAAGATTTGTGCAAGATATCTACAGACTCCATTAGAAAACAAATAAACCTGATTTTTATCCAGCACATTCCTTAAGAGTTTCGACTTGATTTTCACTTTCAGGAGCATCTAAAACGGTGTGCCCATAAAACTCTGAAATGGCAGATTTTTAAGTGCCAATCGTGGCCTACAAAAGAGGTCACGGTTTCTTCTGATGACCCTCACCCGACTTAACACCGGCCAACAATATAAATTCCCCTCCCTTTCAGTTTTAATTCAGAGACCTGAATTTTGCCAGCAAAGCACAAGTCATGCTACAACAGAAGTCCTAGGGAGAAACCCCCGCGTCCGTGCACCCCAAAAGCAACTCCAGGCCATTGGCGTATCTTGGGTTGCCTTGTTCCTCCGCATCGTTGCTCACAGCCAGGCGCTGCCGCCGTACCTATCGGGGCTGCGCCGTTCCTTCGCTGCTCGCCAAGCCCCTCGGGGTCTGCCTTCGCACGTGCGGCTGAGCCACAGACGAATCCCAACGGACAACCCACGAAACACGCGGTGCCCTCCCCCCCAGGCTCCACGCGTGGCGTGCAAAGCGACGCGTTTCCTTCCTCGCGGGCTTCGCGCATCCGAAGAAAAGCCGCTGCGGACCTCTGGCGCCCGCCTCCTACCTGCACGTCCCCCGGGAAGTAGACGACGTGATGCTGAGCCTGCCCCGTCGCGGGGGCGGAAAGGGGCAGGTGCAGCAGCGCGTCGTTGGCTTTGAAGGGCTCGTCGCCCGGCACCTCCGATAGCCGCAGCAGCCGCGGCCGCGGCGAGGAGGTCGAGGGCAGGAAGAAGGCGCTCCCTCCTTCGTCAGAGCCCGCTCCGCTGCTGCTGCTGCTGCTGCTGCTGCCGCCCGCGGCCCCCGACAGATAGGCAGCCGGATTTCCACGGAGGCTCATAGTCCGTGTCAGGCAGAAAAAAACGGAGCCGAGGAGTCCCCTCACGACCGAGGCTACAGGTGGACAACACCTGTTCATGGAGGCTCTAACGTTCTGGCCCCGCGCGACCAGCCAGGCCTCCAAGGTCTCCCCAAACAAACGCGCCAACCAATCGACGGGCCCGACCTGCTCACACCTCCGAGGCGGCGTACAGACGAGTGCGCACGCGCCAGTGGGAGGCGAGAGGAGGTGCGTTTCCTGGCGGAGGAGCGAAAGAGGGCCTTGATTGGTCGTCCCGAGTCGCTTCCGCTGGTTGGCTGCAAAAAGGAGAGCGGGGAAATTGAAAGAAAGAGGCGGAGCTGAAGGAGAGGCGGGGTCCTAGGAACAGAGGAGAGTGGATAAAAATGTTTCAGTCGGCCAGTTATATACAGTGTCAGTTTGGTTGATTAATGCCTTCCTTATAAAAAAGTAAGGTTTTCCAAAATGATCAATATTAACCTTCAAAGGTGGATGTTATTATTATTTGTAGTACTATTAAAGTAGGGTTTTTCATATAATTATGGATTGGTAAGCAATCTGAAATTTCATGAATAAATTGATGAATTAAAGAGTTTAGGGACCCCGCCATAAATGCATAAGAACCATATTTGCTAATCAATTTGTAATTGTCACTTGCTTTTTTTTTGCCATGATTATTTTTCTTTTCTTTTTGCCATTCAGATCTTTCAAATGCAATCCAGGATAAGTAAAACCTAAACTGCCATTACGGAACTCCATTCCAGGTATCTTCTGAGCAAGAGTGATCTTTAATAAGAATAGACTCATTCCTCTGATATTTAACCGAAGAGTTACTTGTCAACAGTTAAGTACTTAAAACAGACTATTGAGAAAGACAGCTGTCTACTCCAACCCATACATATAAGCTATCATAAAAAAATCTGAAGGGTATAAACTAATGCATCAAAATAATGCACTGGGAAATAACAGTAGGCTCTCAAAGTCACAGAAAGTTGAATGTTTATTTTATAAATTGGGGAATGAAATGAATGAAAAGAAATATTATATCCTACAGGGAATAGCTACCTGAAATACAGATAATTCTTTACTTATGACCACAATTGCGACTGGAATTTCTGTTGCCTGTAAGGCAGTTGTTGGATGAGTGGGCATACAATCATATTTCCTTTTTTACCACAGTTAACAGAATCACTGCAGTTGTTAAGTGAGTCACATGGTCATTAAGTAAATCTGGCTTTCCCCATTAGCTTTGTTTGTTGAAAACTGACTGAGGAGGTCCCAAATGGCAATCATATGACCCTGGGACACTACAGCCATCATAACTATATGGCAGCCGCCAAGCATTTTGATCATGTGACCATGGGGATTTTTACATGGTCATAAGTGTGAAGACTAGTTGTAAGTCATTGTTTTTTCATTGTTGCTGTAATTTCCAATAGTCACTTGAATGGCTGCAAGTTGAGGACTACTTGTACATAATAGGAGCACTTTAGCTGATGTGAAAATAGAGTGTAACATTTTGTTGCAAGTCTTATTTCTCTCTTCCAGAACAACTTCAATCCCACCATTTTTTCCCTTTGTGATATTTACTTACTTATTCACTTATTCATTTTCTACCTTTATTATTTTTATAAACAACTCAAGGAGGTTAATACTCCTTCCTCCTCCTATTTTCTGCATCATAGCAATATTCTTTTGAATATTATGCTATTTCTTTTGCTGATGCAATAAAGCTTAAGTAGAATCCTTACTTAACTGACAAAAAATATTAATTCTTATTATGAAAAGGTAACAACAGTATATTTTACTGGAATTTTTTAATTCACCACAAGATGGCACTGTAGTTGTAGCTTGATGACAAATTCGCTCCTTATCATTTGGTTATTTTATACTGTATTTAAGCTTCATAATTATAGGAATAGTATAAATCAGCAAACTTTTTTGATATTGACTATAAGATTGATTTACAAAATTAAACTGGAAAAAAATAAATATTTTATTTGGCAACAATGCTGGCTCTCTGTTAGGATTAGTTTCTTTAAAAAGTTTCACAATAAATATACATATGAGCTGCAGAAGAGCTTCATGGAGAAAGGAGAGTTGATTCCCCCCGGACAAAATGTACTGAGATCTGGTTTGATATATAAAATAGCACAAATATAGTTTCCAATGTAGGAATTCATTTGCAGACATATTGCAGATATCTATCCAAAAGAAAGCTAATAGCCCCAGAATCCATTGTTAGCTCCAGGTTTAAAACTATAGCCATATTTATCTGAGGAAGAATAGCTTTTGTTTGTGTTTATAATATCTTATTTTATCTGTCTTGGAATACATAGAATGAATACTTGACACGCCTGAAGTTTGACTAGAAAGAATCCAGAAAATTTGCTTTCTTCAGGGCCCTTTGAAGTTGTGAAACAACCAATCTAAAAAGAGAAGGATGGAGATTGGAAAGAAATCATTCTGAACCATTGGATCCAAGGACGGCTTCTTAGGAAGGAGACAGTCAATCCCCTCTTTAAATGCAAACATCTTCTCCAAAGAGGAGTTTACCATATCTTGTATCCAAGCATGCATCACTTCCCAAGAGGCTTTCACCAGCTAGGAGAGACATGGATCTAAAGCACAGGTGGCAAGAAATCACAGTCCCAAAAATGCTGCCCATTTCCTCAGGACCAATCAGGTGAAACTCTTACCAATAATTGAACAAGATCATGCCTCAAGTCAGTTACTAAGACCTGCACAGCCAGCCCAGTTCTAATTGATCAGCCTGTCTGGATCTGATTAATTTTATCAATAGAGTAAGTAGTGCACCTAGTATTCCTGCAAGGGTTTCCCCAGTCTCTCTCTCTTTGCCAAGAAGAGACATAGCCTCCCAAAATAGAGTTGCTGGTTGCCAGCTATGAGAATGGTAAGAATGAAGAAATAGCCTGTTTTGCCATTCTTATTGTAAGCCTTAATAAAGGTTTGCTTTTTGTCTTCCTCCTGTGGTGCTTTGGGCATCTTCTAGTGTCATTTCATCTTGCAGAATTCCTCTAGAGGAAAGCTAGAGGGCCGTCTAGGATCACAGAGAGGCTGCACAGGCACGATTCACTTCACTATTCTTGAAGACCTTCTCTATGTTATTTTTTTAATTCTTCATACATTATTAGGAGCATATTCTGTTAGAAAAATACTGGTTAGAAACTTAATGAATATATGCCTGTCATTGATCAGATCATGTATCGGAATTTCTATATATAAGTAAGCAAAGACATACAATGTATCTATCTTTTTATGCTTTGTGTTACAAAGCAAAAATGAGTAGCTTTAATCGTGGTAAGTGATAGCACATATATAATGATAATATTACTGACAAAATGGAAGGCTAGCTTTGTCTTAGAGGTTAAGGAAGGGAATAATTTTTGTATCCTTGAGAGTATCTATCAGTTTACAAAACAGTAAAAGTTGTCATCTTGCCCTTGAAACACAATTTTATTAAGTTAAATTTTCAAGTACGGGCTGTAGTTAATTTGACCCGGAACTGCATAAACATTCTCGGTAGTATTTCTATGTTTTTTTATTCTACCATTGTGCTGGAAATCAATTCTAGAGAGCCATCATGAAATTACCGATTACTATCATAACCTGAGGTTTACCTGTATTCTACATTTTGCGGCTATCTGCCATTCCTTAAATGAAATGCATTTTGTTCCATGTTTATGTTATAGTTGTGATCCCAGACAAAGAGAGCTGCTGTCTCTGTCTGTGTGTCTGTCCCTCTGTCTCTGTGTCTGTCTGTCTGTCTCTCTCTATATATATATTTTGCTATGATTTTATTGACAAGTGTTGACACTACCTATTCCAAATAATTGTAATCAACAGATATTGTGCACTGAATGATTTCTCTGCCTATAAGAAGAGTAGGATTTGGCTTACCAGATGTTTCTGAATTAGAACTCTTGGCAGCTCCAGCTAACATGACCAATAGTGAGGGTATCTGGGAGTTGCATTTCAACAGCATCTGGAGGGCCTCAGATTCCCCACCCTTTAAATAAATGATACCCTGCGTCCCCATCCAGCTTTCTGATTTTATGTTAGCTATATTTTTGTCAGCAGTTTTGTGCTGTGCGCTTGTGAAGTTGCACCAAATTGCAGCCTTTCAGTTTGGGGAGGATTTTTGAATGTGGTTTGAATGATCTGTTACACAAGTGAAAACCATTAATCTGTGAGTCTCTAACTAGCATGTTTTAATACTTCAAGGCAGTGGTGGTGTCTATATATTTTTTCTAGTATTTCTGTGAGGTTGGATCTGAAGTTCAGTATGTAAGGAAATGGTTTTTTTTTTTTTTTGGAAAAGGGAAGTCCTGAAGCCTTTGAGTTTTGTGAATTGCCCTCTGGGCCCCTTTATGTTGGTGTGAAGTTAAATGAAAGACCAGCAATACTTTTATTTGTTTCTTAAATAGAAGCTATACACAATGGCATTTTCTTAAAGACTGATGCCGCAAAATCCCAGTTCTTGATATAACAGTTCTTTTTGCTGGATTTTCAATAAATACCTATTTTATCATTGTACTTATGGAGAACTATCTATATGTCCAAGTAAGAAGAGCACCAAAATTTCACCTGCCAGGCTTGAACCAAGTGACTTCATTCTGTTTGCATTAGAATTAGCTCCATTTAAAAAACCCTTTTGGTAAATTTGACAATAGCTTTTGTTTTAAGTTATGTATTATATTATTTTACTGAGTGCATTTATATTTGGCCATCCTTCCACCATGGAACTCACAAGGGTACATTGGGGTTTCCCACTCAGTTTCTGTTCCTGTTTAGATTCAAGCCTGCTAACCTTCAACCAGATGTCCTCAGACCATGCCCTTCAAACATCTAATCAAAGGCTTATTATTTTTGACATTTGTTTCAGGTCTTAATTTATTATGAGCCTTAGCATTCCTGACTTTATCTTTGCAGATTTGTATATGCTGCCTTAGCTATGTGTTCCTCTTTCTATTTTTTATACATGTCCTTTTTGTCTTTCAATTTTACACAGTCCTTTATACAGCCATACTGGTTTCTTGGATCTCTTATTTTTCCTTTTCAGTGGTATTGTGCTGGACTGGGCTTTTATAATCTCATTTTTCAGAGTCTCCCAAGCTTCTTGAGTTGTTTTACCCTTTA